AAGCTCCAGAAAGGCACATTCAGCAACAAGGTCAGAGATTATAGGAGAAAAACATGTTCTAGTCCAGTTTCATCTTCTTTTGTAGAGTAGGGCTGAGAGGCATTATCTGAGGTAAAACAGCAGGAGAAGAAGAGCATTATAGTGGGACATAAGGAAGCATCCTGAGAGGCAGTTGGGGGAGGACAGGAGATGGCAAGACTAGCAGATTTATATGTTTATGAAAACTGTGTCACTTTTCTGCCAGGGTATGGCAATTAAGGCATCTTAGAAATTAAGAAAAGCAAAACTACTTTTTATATCAGCATTAAAACAGGCACAATGAACCACTTAAAAATAAACACAAAAGATAATGCAAACTAGCTGAAGCAGCATTTGTCACACAAATAGCTTCAAAATGGTGACCCAGGGAGAGGAGAGCCACCCACCAAAGTCTCAGGTAAACTGGAGAGACGTCTCCTGATACCGAAATGATTAAGCTGTACTGGCTTGTAGGCTCTGAGCATCCAGTGCCAGGAGCCAGGCAAGGCAGAGTCATTCAGTCCCAAGGTCAGAGTTCCAGAAGTCGGGCAAGGCAGAGTAGTTCAGGAATCCGGCAAGGCAGAGTTTATGCCTTAGCATCTTTCGTACACATTGCATCCACATCTAACAGCCTCTCTTGGCTGCTTTTATAGCCACACACCTAAGGGTCAGGCTTGCAGCTAGCCGCTCAGAAGCAATCCTCCAAGTAGAAGAAGATGAGGAGGAGGAGGAGGAGGAGATTGGATTTATACCCTGCCCTTCACTACCCAAGGGAGTCTCAGGGTGGCTTACAAACTCCTTTCCCTTCCCCTCCCCACAACAGACACCCTGTGAGGTAGGTGGGGCTGAGAGAGCTCTGACAGAAACTGCACTTTTCCAAGAACAGCTGTGCCAGAACTATGGCTTGCCCAAGGTCATCCAGCCAGGTGCAAGTGGAGGAGTGGGGAATCAAACCTAGTTCTCCCACATTAGAGTCCGCGCACTTAAGCACTACACCAAATGGGCTCATCTTCGTTACCATTAAGCAGGTGGCATTGTGCCAGGAGGCATGCACTTTGCTGTCTTGTCTGTAGCTCTGTTCTCAGCCTCCGTCTGTGGCGCTGTAAGGGTGTAGGAGATACTGGTGGGTTGGGACTGGCCTACTCAGGTTTGCCTGCTGATCAGCCTCCGTCTGTGGCGCTGTAAGGGTGTAGGAGATACTGGTGGGTTGGGACTGGCCTACTCAGGTTGGCCTGCTTAACCAGGGCTGGAGGGTATGGGTGGCTCTGCACCAGCTGTTGGCTGTGAATCCTGACAAGCCTGCAGCTCATTTTCCTGCTGGTCAGCTTCTGTCAACTCAATGTTGGCTACACAGGGCTTCTCTTCTCCTGAAGAGTCCTCACGAATGCTGAGCCCTGGCTGACACATGACAACACCAGACATTCATTTCTTTGGAGGGAGTTATAGGGCCCCAGAACTGGGGATGGGGACAAAATTCTGGGGGGCCCAAGTCAGCTTGAGGGCCCCATGAAGCTGGGCAAGCAAGGTGAGCTTCCTGGTTACCACTTGCCAGCTGCTGGATGGGGGCTGGGAAAAGAAGGGGCTGGGAACTACATCTGATGAAGGTGAGGTGAGAAGTCAGCATTTGAGAGGTGCCAGCAAATTGCTCATGGTTAAGATACATATCCGTGTAAGGGTCACTGATACTGGAAAGCTGTTGCAGAAAAGATGAAAGGTATGTTTTGTTCAGCATCTCTATAGGGTAGCCTAGGTTTACCCTGAATCTCGACATGCCACCCGGGGCCCATTTGACCCATTAGCTAGCTGTTCCACATTACCAACTTTCATTTAAAAACTATTAAGCCTCTAAATCTTCTAGAGCCAAAGACAGAAAGCAAAATATACAAGTGGTTTCCTGTTTATTGTTTTTTTACTCTCAGGCTTTAACTAACTTGTAGAAATATGTAGTTCTAAGGACACATATCTCATGCCTTCTTGGGCTTTTTAGAATAGTTCCAAAAACAACAATAATTCACTAAAAATTGCATCTTTCAAACTCTAAATTGGTGGTCCCTTCCCCAATATTACACAGAAAAAGGATAACAGTAGAAAAACAATGTGATCTTTACATTTTGAAAACAAAAAAATAATTTTATATGATGCACTAGCAAATGAAAAGGAGCCAAACTGGGTGGCATTACCAGGAGTTCATGAAATTAATCCACTCTTCCAGGTGGCTGAGATCTGCAGAATTTGACTTTGAAAAATTTAAACAAAGTGACTGGTTTAAATGTTTTTCTTTTTATGTAGCCTAGTTTCAAACTTTCTTTTTTGACCAGGATTCAGTAACACTCTCAATACTTTGAAAAATGTTGAGGTCCAGACTAACCTTTCTGCACAGTAAGACTCTTTTCCTTCTAGTTATGTTCTAAAGGCAGAGTATTATTCCCATTATCTTCTAATTTCCCATATACCAGGCTTCCTTATACGCTCTGGTTATACATGCCAGTAACAAACATATTTAGGTTCTGCAAACTTGGCGAAGAGCATCACCATAGTCTGCTGTTGGCAGGGAATTTGTTAAAGTTCTTCTTGAGGTTCAGTTAACTGGCAGAGGCTATGGACTGATATATAAATCAAGTTTTGCAGCCAGTTTCTTAATGGTTTATGCAGAGGAACTCTTAGACTTAGTATTCTTGCATGATGTTGGGGGATGCTCAAGATGTTTCGGGCTGTGATGGAAGTTAGTTTAGGACTGCCAACTCTAGGTTAGGAAATTCCTGGAGATTTGGGGGTGGAGCCTGGGAAGGTCAGAGTTTTGGGAGGGAAGGGACCAGGGTTGCCATCCTCCAGGTGGGGCCTGGAGATCTCCCACTATTACAACTGATCTCCAGACAATAGAGATCAGTTCTCCTGGAGAAAATGTCTGATTAGATTTTAAGGCTGCAGTCTGATTCTCATTTCAATGACAGTAACCCCACTGACTGTTCCCTGGAAGGCCAGATAATGAAACTGAAGCTCAAATACTTTGGCCACCAAATGAGAAGGGAGCACTCACTGGAGAAGACCCTGATGCTGGGAAAGATTGAAGGTCAAAGAAGACGGGGACGGCAAAGGATGAGATGGCTGGACAGTGTCATCGATGCAACGAACATGAAACTGAGCAAACTTCAGAGGACGGTGGAAGACAGGAGGGCCTGGCGGGAGATGATCCATGCGGTTGCGAAGAGTCGGACTCGACTGTGCGACTGAACAACAACAAACCCCACTGAAATCAGTAGGAGACAGTCATGCACTGAACAGCAGCCCAGATCTAACTTCAACCGTCTACGAGGGCTTCCCACTTCTACTAAGGCTAAATGCTATAAACTAAGGTGTACAGTTGTGTGTGTGTGTGTTTAGTATTTAACTATTACGGGTTCAAGACTTGGAGGGAAAAAGCAAAACAAGAATCTCCTACACAGTAAGTTCTCCTTGCACGTTGATTGAACAGATACATACCCATGTGCTGCTAGAGAAATTACCCTGGAGACACATGGGAATCCTCTCTGCCTGTTGTCGTCTTAGAAAGGAGAATGACCAAATCCTCACATGAATTTTGTTGACCCATGAAAAGACTGTTTCTATGACCATTCCTCAATTATAACAAGGGATGCAAAGCAACTTAGTAAATAACATAACAATGTGCATGTTTTGCATAATTATCAGTTTGCATGACATGCAAATTACATTGTCCATATTTGGGGTTTTTAATCTGCCAACCCTGTCCCTGTGTTTATTTATTTGCCCTTCATACCCAAGAAGTTGCAGCAGAAAGAGGAAGTTCTTGTGGCCTTGGCTAGAGGCCCCATGGGGGGGGGGGGTTAGCTTGTACTTTGAGAGGATTTTACACAGGAAGAGAGCTGCCAAGGAGTGGGGGTAGGAACTGCGAAGGCTGTGTATCCGTTTCTGCAGGGAAGGAAGGGCCCAGCTTGTGAGATATATTATACCACAGTCTGTGCAAACGCTTGGAGCAAGACTTGTCTTAGCCAGTAAGGAGACACTGAATCCAAAGAAAAGCCAGGAAAGTTGCGGTGGTGGTGGAGGGGAGAGCATGCCTGAATGAAAGGAACTGAGAGGTTGAAATGTCTTTGGGAAAGGTGCCCCCTTGCCCATCTTGGGGCATCTTCCAGGAACATTTGAACAGCTTCACATTTTACGTGGTAAAGACTATAGCTGAGTGTGTTCCAGTGATTCCCCAGCTAACACGCAGAACAATACACATGCTTTTATGAGCACCAGTGTGCATGTAGATGTGGATCTTGATTGAGCCAGGGATTCCAGTTGCATGCACATGGGTGTGTTTACTGCATGAAATGCTGATGCACGTACAGCAACAGAGTTTGCTGAATAAAGGGTGGAAGCTGCCTTTTGCCAGCTCAGGATGGGTGTTACTCTGAGGAAGAAAGAAGAAGAGTTGGATTTATACCCCGCCCTTCACTCAGAGTCTCAGAGTAGCTTACAATCACCTTCCCTTCCTCTCCCCACAACAGACACCCTGTGAGGTAGGTGGGGCTGAGAGAGCTCTGAGAGAACTGTTCTTGAGAGAACAGCTCTGAGAGAACTGAGACTGACCCACGGTCACGCAGCTGTCTGCATGTGAAGGAGTAGGGAATCAAACCTGGTTCTCCAGATTAGAGTCTGCCACTCTCAGCCCCATAGCTAAGGAGTTTTGGGAGAGGGGGTCTGGGGGGGGCACCAGCCAATTAAATCAAAATTAATTAAGGAGCAGGCCATAGTCGGGACAAGTGACTGCGTGCGGCGGGGCCCACTCCACCGGGAAGTGTGCAGGCTCCGGGGCTCGCCAGGCACCCCATTGCATGCGCACGGTGCTTTCCCTCGGGGCTGGGAGCAGAGGCGGACTGGTGCCCAGGGATACCCGTGGCCTTGCTCACACAGGCAGTTGTGAGGACGCCCGAAGGTAGGCCCAAGGAAAGAGGCAGGGGATGTGGGTCGCACCCCACCGTTTGCTGGGACTCGTGGACAGGCAGCCGATGGGAAAATGCAGCCAGGTGATGCCCGGAGAGGCCAGCGCTGCACCGGGCGCCATCTCCCCCCCCACTGGCGGCTGGCCTGGCCTGGCGGGCGACACGTCTCGCAGTGGCCTGGGCCGAGGGCGGGTGCACGCATGTCCCGTGGGTGCGCTCAGACGTGCTTGCGGTGTGGCCAGCTGCACCACCACCTCCTTCTCTTGCACTGGCCGCTGACACACTCGGGGCCCTCCCCTTCCCCCCTGGAGATGTGACGGAGCAACAGCGAGGGAAGCCCGACCTGGCCCAGCCGGCAGTGAGTCGGGGGATGGGGTGGGCGGAGAGGTTCCGGGGTGCATGGGGCAGGGACAGGGGCCACCTCCCCCCTCCTGGGATGGCCTCCAGCCAAGTGAGGGGTCCAGAGACTGCCACAAACTGGGCAGGCCTGGGCTTGGGAGCTGCTGGCTGGGGAAGGGTGAACCCCCTGTTACTGTATGCTAATGAGCTCCATGGTAATCAAAGGAGGCCATCTTAGGCAGGCATGCAGGCAGGCTGGCTGGCTGCTGCTGCCACTGCAGATAGGGAGAGATGAGCATGCAGTTCCAACCTAGAGCCAGAGGAAGGCGTGCACGCTCGCCGTGGGTGGGGAGGAGGGGAGCCGAGGATTGGGGAGGAGCCCGTAAAAACCAGGCCAGGCCGGCCCCGTGGTAGCTACGGGCTTGGCCACTCTTAACCATTGCACCAAACTGGCTCCCCAGGTGTAGTCTTTTTGTGATTGCCAAGTCATCAGAGAAGACTGCCTTGGCCTGCTCTTCTGCTTTTGGCAGCAACTTGATATGCAGAAGTCAGCAGGCAGATCTTTTCACTACACATTGTTAAACACTATTGCATGCTACTGTCTGTATACTAAGCTGCTCTTAAAGGTACAGTCCAGTTGAAAAGTTAGCAACTCTACATTATTTTTCCCCTCTGTGTTCCACACTGCTGAAACAGAGATAAAGGAAGACACTGGCCTTGCTGTAGAGTATAATATAACAATCATTTCTATTTAACTGTTTTAATTGCAATACTCCTTATGAATCGAATCAGCTCATCCTTGCAGAATTATTGTACGGCAGTGCGTGTAGTATAGCCAGGAAATGCTAAGATTGTCTGGTAGCCAGAGGCTCTAGCTCTTTTAGTGTTATACACCACTGGTGGCTAGCTAGACTTATTTTTTAAGGCAAGAGATGTTTCAGAGTTGGTTTGCCATTGCCTGTCTCTGCATCATGGCCCTGGGATTCATTGGAGGTCACCCATCCAAATACCCTGCTTAGCTTCCAAGCTCTGATGAGACCGGGCTAGCCTGGGCTATCCAGGTCAGGGCAGTTAGGTTCCTGTAGACCGGAGAGCCGTTATTTCCATGCACACAACAGAAAACAGTGTTGAACGAGGATATTTTCTTCAGGGTCCACATCTAAGTCTATCTTCATAAGGCCCCTGTAGATAAAGGATTTACTTACACATTTTTCAGCCAAAGGACTCCTGTCTGAAGATAGTGGACAGCACTAGTTAAGAGTTTTGGCTTAAGACTGGGGGAGACTGAGGTTCAAATCCCCACTCACTATGCAAAACTCATTGAATGAGCTTAAATTGGTCATTCTCCCTCAGCCTACCCTGCCTCACAGTGGTTTTTTGAGGAAAAGCAACGGAGGGGAGAGCCGTGTGTGCTGCCCTGAACTCCTTGGCAGAAGGGTGTGATAAAAAAAACCCCATAATCTATGCACACATATTCCAATCAGACATAAGATGCTAAAGGACAATATCGATGTAAGGTTTCGGTCAGACACTCTGAGTGCTTGCTGAATGGCAAACAAGACACCGGTGGGATAGGTCAAATCAAGATTTGTGAGACTGAATAAATGCAAGGGACAGAGGCATCCTGCCCATTACTGAGGGAAACAGTCACCACAGAAAATATAAGACGAATCCTGTCCCAAAATAGTCCCCAAAGGGAAAGCAAACAATCCACTCTGCTGTCAAATGCAGGCAAGTTCTTGCCCACAAAGATAGTCACTCCCTCCTCCCACGCAATCCACCCCGCTCCCAGCCACACTAAATTGTGAGGAAAAGGCCTGACTTCCTGCTATAGAAATGGCCTGAGCCCAGTTGCCCTCGGTGGGTGTGTATGAGGGAGCTGCTGCAGCTTGCATCTGACAGCCTGAGCCCTCAGGAATGAGGAGGATGGAAGAAGAAAGAGCCCTGAGACTGGGTGGGGCACCCTCCGTCCCATACAGAGACAGTTCTAGAGTCCAACTCGCACCAACTGGATTTGGAAAACTGCCCCCTCTCTGTGATAGGCCGATCTAGTACCCAACCAACACCCATCTTTGACTGCACAAAGCATGGAAGAGGAGCCAACGGGTTACAGTGCTGTTCCTCGTAGTGTGTTAAGGGAACGCCTGGTCTCCCTTGCTAAGATTAGCTGCTGCTATTGCAGTTACAGGCCCAAAGCTAACAAAAAGGTACCTGTGAAACCATAGCCACGATGAAGACCACTGGTGCCAGTGATGCTTTTAGCACAAAGATGTACAGCAGCTGGTAACTTTCCTGGTTTAATGATGAGGCCAGTCAAGCGAGGGGGTTCATATGAACACAGAGAGTCTCTTTGTAAAGTAACACTTTATTTCCAAGATCTGATTAACTGAGCACCTTTCCCCTTACCTCTACACAATGAAAGGGACTTTAAAAATTAGTTTGGGATTCAGAAAAGGTAGTAGATTGTGGCAATAGATCACTATGCTATTGCGCTTCCACAATTGTCTTTTTGTGTTAAGAATTTTCCTTCAAAAATGCTCACCTTCCAGTCCACACAGCATACCAACACAACTGTGATCTTTCGAAAATAATTGTATCAAACCAGAGACAACGTTTTATAGAAGCACCCACCTCCCGACAAAAAAATCACCTCTCCGGTTTGGATGCCAAACCATAGCAAAATCTCCATGTGGAAGCAATCCAGGTTGCAGTGGGTTGGATCCAGACTAAATGAACAATTTCTACTCATTCTCCCTCCCTGCTGCAAACCCCTGTCATGTCATTCCTCAGACTCCCCTGTCTCTCAAGAGCAGCATTTCATGGAGATCAGTGG